GCTGATCCCACGAAGGTTGTGAGGTTGTTGCAAGAGGCTCTCACTCGAAGCGGAGCCCTCAGATCTGCCTTCGGTGCATGTGCTTCTTCTCGGAGTCCCCGGCTAGAGAACAAGCAACCAAAAAGGCGACGTTCTTCCTCGATTCGGGATAAAAATTAGAAATTAAAGAAGGCCACACCTGAGCCAACCGGAGCCACTATGGTCATTAATGATGACAGGGAAGCTAGTAATGATGAGGCTTCCCTCCAACGGAGACAATGATCTTCATCAGCTCGACATAATGCTCGACCTGGAGAGCTTAGAACCCCAACCGAAGGCGAGGTCCGAGCGTTTTCGGAAGAAATGAATATAGTAGAGAATGTCGATTCTTGCTTTCTAGTCCCAGTTGCTATCTTTGGTCCTGTGAGGTCGGAAGCCGGGCCTCTTCTGCCTTTGGTTGATGAACAACCAATAATCAACACTGCCCCTATTGCAACTGCTTCTCTACCCACAATACCAACAACTTCATGCCCCTCTACACCGGCTACACCTTCGTAATCAGCATCCACTGCACCTCCTTCACCGGCCACAAATGCACGAATAGAGGACGTTTCTCCTCCCCAGTCCCATGTCCACGTGAACTTGGGGCACAACTACTCACCCCCATCTCCAGATCCCTGAGGGAGAGGGAGTATCACTTTCTCAGTTTCAACGGAGTGCCATCTGTTATCCAGGCCGGTGGAGCTTGCCAACTATCTGAAGCCGCTGGCTTCAGATAAAAGATAAGAAGAAAATGCATTCCCTTCAGGGGAGTGTATGCTGAATAATGCCATGTACAATGCGGCAACGATACCGTACTTGTTGTCTCACTGCTTGTTTTTATTCATCCGTTATAGTAAGGTTTTTGACTTTGATATACGTTTTGTACACCAACTTCCTTGCTTTCGAGGGCATTCAGATGTTTATCCTCGATAAAGAAGGACTATGTCCGATCGGGATCAGCTATTGGCCGAGATGGACTAAATTGTTACTCGCCTCCCAGTGCTGGAAGAAAAATCTACTAAGACGAGTGAACTAGAGGCTCGATTGCAGCAAAGCGAGCAGGAAGTGAAGGCCATTATCCAAGAAGTCGCTCAGCTAAATATACAGTTTCAAGAAGCTAAGGCTAAATAGGCTAAGGTCCAAGATGTTGTGCTCGAGGCTATTGAGCGCTAGTCTACCTCTATTGAATGAGTGAATATCTTGGAGGCAGCCTTGAACACGAAGCCGAAGAGGCTGCTGCTGCCAAGGAGAAGCGAGCCCGGAAGGAAGAAAGGTATAAGAAGATCACGGAGCAAAACTGGGTTCACATATCAACAATCTGTGATCTTAATTTTAGCCTTGGCGCCACAGGATCCGAGCGGGATGTCCTTTTACCCGAGGTTGACACACATAAGGCAAAGCTCAAACACCAAGGGGATTCCCTCATTTTTGAAAAGACATACTCTATGTACCATATGGGACGGAAAACCTTGGAGGAGGCCAAAGCAAACGTCATTATAGTACCGACGCAGCTGACTCTTCTAGTACCGGTTTTGAGTATTCGGGAATCGAGGAGGAACTTGAAGAGAATTCTGATGAATGCCAAGATCCTTTATTAGCGGCAGATCCACCCACTTCTCCCGGGAGGGGGGGGGGAGATGCTTCTCTTTCACCGAGTTCCGATGGCGATAACGTTTAAATATTTCCTTTTTTCTTTTGTTGTTTTCCTTTTGAACTTTTGTACTTATGTTGTACGGTATGTTGATAACTAAAGAAGAATTTTTGTTTAAGTATTTTGCAAAGTTTATCATTTATCATCGAATTAGATAAGGCTTCGGGTGTATTTTCTTCCAGTAGCTTTTGGGTTCCGGGCATAAATTCTTCCAGAACCAAGCCTTTACTATGAGAGTTTCATAAGGGAGGGCCCTCTTATGTTTAAGGTGCTCTTGATGAGGACATCTCATGTTCATTTCGGCATAAGCATTTGAAGTTTTTAGTTAACTTTCAAGTGATAAAATCAGTTCATCGTTTGGACAAGAAACAAGATAAAAATAAAAAAACTTTATTTTATTCCTTCTATCTTAAAAAGTACATAAGCATTCATTTCCTAAAAAAAGAAATTGTCAATACATGTGACTAACTTGTACAACATTTTTCTACGGGGATAGTTGTGCAGTCACCGGTCCCGATAAGATGTTATAGTTTCTGGGTCTCGTAGTCCTGGTTTTCTTAGCAATCATGTTTCTGTATTCTCATACTATTCTCCCCAGTGTTCGAATGCGAAGTATGCGAATTGGAACAATGGAAGTCTTGCTCCTTTAAGGAAAAACACTTGTGAACGGTTGGATAATCTTTGGTTCAATGGCAAGCTTTGTTTCCTGTTATGAACTTTGCCATCGAGCCAACATTATCTAACCATCCCGTAATGGCTTGTTGTTTCAATGACTTGTCATTTAAAGGTCTTAACTTTGTTGATGATATTTCCTTCGTAGTATTCTTTTTGTTGTTGCCTCGTCAAAAACCTTGTTAGTAAAACCCAATAGGGAAAAAAACTGGTCGAAGAGAAAAAGAGTGCAGCATATACTTTTAGTGTAGGCACGATCCATCAGCAATAATACCTTTTGAGGTGAGTAATGTTCTAATTACTAGGAGATTTGACTCCATCTTAGTTCTCCAGGTCTTATGACCCTTTACTGCTGACAACTGAAACCCAGTAGGGGCCTTTCCATGCCGGGCCCAACTTCTCAGTGTTGATTTCCCGAGTGTTCTGAGTCACTTTACTTAAAACTAAGTCTCTTACTTTAAAGTAGTGGAGATTGGTCCTCTGGTTATAGAACCTTTCCATCCTCTGTTGTTAAGCCATCATCCTTACGTGTGCCAAGTCCCTCCGTTCGTCGAGTAGTTCCAGCTTTACCAGCAATGCCTCACTATTTGCTTCTCATCTGTTCAGAAGAACCATAAGGTTGCTTCTCCTACTTCCACCAGGATAAGAGCTTCTGCACCATATACGAGAGAGAAAGGTGTCCCCCCGTGCTTGACTTTACTGTCGTACGGTACGCCCATACCACGCCCGGTAACTCTTCGGGCCACTTGACGTTAGTTGTCTCTAACCTCTTTTTGAGATTTTAAATAATCACCTTATTGGTTGATTTTGCCTGCCCATTAGCGATCGGATGGTGGTGAGTATATAATTCTTTTGATTTTCTGATCTTCAAGAAATTTGTGACATTAAACCCTATGAACTGTGGCCCATTATCACAAGCAAATTCTTTTGGTATTCCAAACCGACAAATTATGTTTTCCCATAGGAAGTCGACTACTTCGCGCTCGTCGATCTTTTGGTAAGGACCTACTTCAAACCATTTAGTGAAGTAATCAGTTAAAATTAAAATGAATCTTAACTTTTCGGACCCGGTGGTAGCGGCCCAACTATATCCATCCCCCATTTCATGAATAGCCATGCGACAGTACCAAATACAAGAGTTCCACCGATTGGTGTACCAATTGTGCATGGCGTTAACACTTGTCGCATTTCTGAACGAACGCATTTGCCTCCCTTAGGATTTCCCCCGAAGGCGTGATTAGGACTACCCCAAGACCGAACCCTTTCACATTGGAAGCTCCATCTGTGAACAAGGTCCAAACTTCTCATGTCGTTTCCAACACCATTTCCGCTTCTTTAGCAGCCCAGGATAATAACCCGAGACTGAAATCGGCCAAAATGTTGGCCAAAACTAATGATTTGATGGCAGTCCTAGGCTTATGCTCAATATCAAATTCACTAATTTCAAATGCCCATTTGGCCAACCGTCCTGACAACTCAGGCTTGTGAAGAACATTCCACAAGGGAAAGCTTGTCACAACGGCTATCAGATGGCACTAAAAATAGGGCCTAAGCTTTCAAGAGGTGACTACGAGAGGTAAGGCCAATTTTTCGAGGTGTGGATAACGAGTCTCCACTCCCGACAAAATTTTACTAACACAATAGACAAGAAATTATGTACCTTTATCCTCCCGGACTAAAATAGCACTTACCGCTACTTTCGAGACCGCCAGGTATATCAGCAATTATTCTCCTTCCCCCGGTTTTGGTAGTAGCGGGGGGCTTGATAGATAATGTTTCAGGTCTTTTAAGGCCCGTTGACATTCTAGAGTCTATTCGAAGTTGTTCTTCTTCTTCAGAAGAGAGAAGAAGTGGTGACAATTTTTCGAGGATCGAGAGATGAACCTGCTTATATCGGCCAATCTTCCGGTTAGCCTTTAAACTTCTTTTATGCTTGTTAGCTAGTTTAGTATGTCCTCGATGGCTTTGATCTTATTGGGATTTACCTCGATTCCCTTTTGTGAAATCAAGAACGCAAAAACTTACCGGAGCCGACCCCAAACGCGAATTTCTCCGGATTGAGCTTCATGTTGTGCTTCCTCAAGATTTCAAAGGTTTCCTGGAGGTGCTTTAAATGAATACCTACATTCAAAAACTTGAACAACATGTCATCTATAAGCACTTCCATTGTTTTACCTATTTTCTTCTCGAACATCTTGTTCACGAGCCTCTGATAAGCGCTCCGGTGTTTTAAGCCAAATATATGTGCCAAAGTTTGTTATGAACGAAGTCTTTTCCTGATCCTCTGGTTTTATCTTAATTTGGTTATACCTAGAATAGGCATCGAGGAAAACCATTAACTCGTGCCCGGCCGCTGCATCAATCATTTGATCAATGTTTGGCAATGTGAACGAGTCTTTTAGGCACGCTTTATTCAAGTCTTTATAATCTATGCACATTCAAAACTTGTTATTCTTTTTTGAAACTACAACTACATTAGCTAGCCATTAGGGATACTTTACCTCCCGGATTTAACCAATGTTACCGATACCTTTATCTTCTTTGCCGCTGAGAAGGTTGCACCATTGATTTCATTCCCTCCGAAAATCATATTGATAGTCAACTAAGGAGGGTCTTCTCCTGCCTTTGGAGGTTCTGCGTGGTCCCGGCTTCAGCCTTAATTGTTCTCAGCTCGGTCGCATAAGAATTGCCTGAGATGGCCATTCTTCAACAGTGTTGCCACCTCCTCGCGTAGGTGCCGACAATCCCAAGTTCTGTGGCCGTGAGTCCCATGATATTCACAGCATAAATTACGATCTCTCTGACTGGGATCGAATCTGATTGGCTTCAGAAATCGAGCCTCGTTGATATTCCTTATTGTCGATACCAGCTCCACTATGCTGATGTTGAAATTATAATTTGACAACCTGGGATAAGTGGAATCCTGAATACCCGATACCTCTTTGTCTTGCAAAGATCTGTTGTTTCGACCGCGATCAGTTCTTCTTTCGGGAGCAAACCTATCCGGCGAAAAAAACCCTTTATTTTCGCGCCTGTCGGCTTTCTCGTAAGGCAAACAACGGCTCTTAGAAGATCGCCCATCTACATCAAAATCATCCTTGAACTTCTCCCAGTTCTTGTCTCGGTCTCGTCCTTTGATTAATGCCAGGAACCCGAGATGATCATCTTCTATCCTTATCTTCGATTTATAGTGGTTATGGACATCCGCCCATGTGGTTGCTTGGAACTCGATCAGGCTTTCCTTCAACTTTCAGGAGGCGTCGGAGCTCCTCGGGTTCAAACCTTTTGTGAATACCTCCGTTACCCACTTGTCTGGTATGACCGGTAGCAGCATCCTCTCTTTCTGGAACCTAGTAATGAACTCTCGCAGCAATTTAGACTCTTGTTGTGCTATACTAAATATGTCCGCCTTCCGGGCTTGGTCCTTTCTAGCCCCAGCATGGGCCTTTATGAATGAATCTGCGAGCATTTCAAAAGCATCAACTGAATGTTCAAGCAGAAGCAAATACCATGTCAAGGCCCCCTTCGTGAGGGTTTCTCCAAAATTTTCAGCAAAAGTAACTCAATCTCAGGTTGAGCCAAGTCGTTTCCTTTCACCTCTATTGTGTAAGTTGTGATGTGCTCCTGAGAATCTGAAGTCCTATCGTACTTTGGTACGTCCGACATTTTTAACCGTTTTGAAATTAATTCTGGCGCTTAAACGGTAACTGGGTGTATTTCTTCGAATTTGGGCCTTTCAAAACTGGCGGTGCCCCTGGAATATGGTCCATTCGGACGTGAAACTCCTTCACGTTCTGATACATTCGCTCGTTTATCTCCCTCATGAATCTCATGAGTTCGATTTTAAAAGGATCATTATTGTTGTAGTTACCGGACCCGCTACTAGTTCCCCCGGCTCCGTCGAACCCGACCTCACCCCTCGGGGTGTTATTATCAACTCTTTGAGCCGCATGATTTCCAGGAGCGCCGGGAGGAACTGGGCCTCTTCTGTTTGCGTTGTTGGAAGCCCCCGATAATGCCTGATTTAGATTCGTCATGACCTAGTTCTGCCTTGAAAGATGGCCCATGATGGCTTTTTGTTGCTCTCTCAATATCCTTTCCATTTTTGTAACTTGTTCGGTCCCCGCATCATTTGGAGTTAGTTCCCACACATGTCGGGGATATTGTCCGCCATGGACCGTAGTCGTCACGTCCCCCTCATTGCAGGTGTCATTGATTGAATCCTCATGTTGAGGCAGATTTTCATGTGCCTCAACGTTGTGTGCGATGTTGACATCGTTAGCTGCCATTTTCGATTTTTGCTAAGAACAAAGAATCAAAATAGTTAGTAATAGATTCAAGGATCAACTCAATTGCGCAAATGTCTAAGCCCCAACGGTGGGCGCCAAACGTTTTACCCATAAAATGGTACAATTGAATTTGTTACGTGGTTTATAGACAAACGAACTGATTTGATCAAAAATAGTAAATACGTTAGATTAAAAATAAGACTTAGCATTGAAACCAAATGAAATGGCAATTGGGGCTCCGGGAGCGATGCTTCCGAGGAACAAAATAAGAACAATATAAAACAGAAAGTAAATTTGTATTATTTAGCTTGAGAATAGAATGCAACATAAGTTTTGCTTAAGATTTTTTTCCTCCACAATGGTTGTTGAAGCTACTATTTATAGTTATACCTAGAAAACAAGATCCTAGGATCAAGCCCCTCTTAAATGACAATAAAGGGGGCATTGATGAGTATGTAACGGTATGCTATAAATGCAAATATTCTCTGAAAGTGCTGCTTATTTAATGCCAGAAAATATTCTTTATTAAGTGACTTTAGATGACAAACATTCGATTTGCTCACATTGATCGTGCTCCCTTCGGAGTTCATCCAATACCAAGGGTAGATGTTGCTTCCGGTAGTGACTGTTACTTGATTCGTCTTCCGCCTGTCTTCTGTTCCACTTCTCTCCCTATTATTCGATCATTTAGCTAGAGTTTGGCCATACATTCCCAAATTTATTTTGAAAAATCTTATTTGGTTGAAGTTTGGTTTGAAGATGAAAATGTGTTTGGACATCAGTTTTCAAAACATATTTCCCAAATTTATTTTGGAAAAATATGAAACATGACTTGTACCCACAAGTTCTAAAAACTATCACAAATACTCAACAGTACCATTATCAATAACATTCATTATATTATCGCAAGCCATAGTCCTGAACATAAATAAATTTGGTACAAAATTATCATTTTTATAATGAACTACATACACTATCATATGACCGAGAAGATGAAGCAGCATTGTTACAAAATAATAAATGGTGGGCTCTTTTATAAAATACAAAAATTTGGGGCAATTTTTAAAAAATATAATATTGATACTTTGGCCCAAAATCAACTATTGAGCTGGTTTTGGGATTTGAGGTTTTGCCAAAATGTAGACAAAATCTATGGTCAAACATGTGTTTGCCAAATAAAATTTAAATTTATTTTGACAAAATCTATAGCCAAACGGGTCCTTAATATAAGCCAATTTTACCCTATGCACATTTGCCATTTTCTCCTTTGGGGAGCATCTCAATTCTCATGTACCGTTTGGTCGCTAATTTGGGAATACCAGGTGCTGGTCCACATGGACCCCTACGGATCTCTAGAAGTTTTATTCTTATTATTATCCTTTATGTTGTCCCAAATTACACCCAATGTCACCCATTTTATAACCTGGTGCTTGTTTATTTTATTTTTGACCGGCTACTTTATTTGAAAAAAGAACTCTACTTTTATAAAATTACTTACAGAGTGATAGCTGCAACATGATTGTCTCATAAGCTAACTAATCGGGAAGTGTTAATCTTAAACTGCTTGCATTTTGCAAAATTGAGTTGTCTTGTTGTGGATTATTGGGTCTACCTTTACCAGCGAAATCGACGATTCAAATTTCACTTCTGATGGTTTTGTTTTCGGCACAAAGAATAGATATATATGTGAAAATCAGTAAAAATTTTAAAAAAAATATATTTTGAATTTATAATTTTAAAAATATAGCGGATTAATGATAAAAGACTAAATTAACACGTCAAATGTAAATTCAAAATACACTAATTCATAATAGTGCACCCATCTTGAAATCCTGTGCAGAAACCCACCTTGGTTCTTAAATACCTCTCTAATATTTCTATAGCAAAGACAGAGTCCTGAGTCCTTGACCTTACCAGTCCTTATTTATAACCACTTTCTATTTCACATTTTTTCAAACCTGTCTCCACTTCTCCAATCTTTTTTCTCCCTGCAAACCAAACAAGTAAAATAAAAAATGGACTCTGCACCAAAAAGAAGACGGCCCTGTTTTGTTGACAGAAACGATGGCCTTGCCTCTTTAACTGAAATGGAAACTGGTCTTTTAGCAAACCACCAGCACAATCACAACCCATTGATTTCACAAAGGATGAGTAGTTTGAAGAATCTTTCTTCCATTTCATCTCCAAGATTAGCCAGTAGGAGAAGGTTTTATGAAACTAGATATGAAGAACCACAACCCCATTTCTTGGAAGCTTGTTTTCATTGCAAGAAACAACTTGGCAGTAACAAAGACATCTTCATGTACTGGTTAGTTTTGTTGTTCATTCTTTTTCAAGTTTCTAATCAAATACACATATTTGTTACTTTTCTTTTCACACTTTTCATTATATTGATAAATTGTTTGTAGCGAGTAGGGGTGACAAAATGGTTAAAAGAACACAGTTAACCACCCATATTATCCACTAAAAAATGGGTTGGATAATGAACTTTTAAAAAACGGGTCAAATATGGATAAAAACCATATTATCCATTTAGAAAATGGATAACCAATGGGTAACCAATGGATAACTAATAGGTCTAACTTTTATATTTGTAAATCCTCAAATTGGGGTTCCTCAAGTTAGAGAGACTAAGAATTCTCCCAAAAGTGATCATATGCAAGAAGTAACTATATTATCCGTCGGTTAACCCGTTTTTTATTCTTATTAAATATGACTCAGGTCGGATAATTTATCCGTTTTTTTATTACATATTTTCGACCCGAACCATATCCGACCCGACCCGCCCGTTTGCCACTCCTAGTAGTGAGTGTGGATTAGTAAATTAGTGGTTAAGCTTTTATTACTATTTGGCCATCTAAAAGAGTGCAAGATTTTGATTATTCTCTAATGGTTTGATGCAGAGGAGACACTCCATTCTGTAGTGAAGAGTGCAGGCAAGAACAGATAGAAATGGATGAATCCAAGGAGAAAAAATTGAATCTTTCAGCATCTGACCGAAACCAAAATGTTGCTATTTTGGACTCAAAACACATAAATAGGTGGAAAAAAAAAAGGTAACAAAAATATATATAGCGCCAGAAATAGTGGCGCTATATATAAACGGTAACAGCACCGTTAAATATATAGCGCCACTATTTCTGGCGTTATACACTGTCAGAGTGATATAGCGCCACTATTTCTGGCGTTATACACTGACAGTGATATAGCGCCAGAAATAGTGGCGTTATATCCCTCCCCAAAAACTCTCCATCTTCTTCCCCCGTCTTCTTCCTCCATTATTCTAATCCCCCTCCCTAAAATTGGTCCCCTATGTCCCCACTAAAAAAAAAAAAAAATTGGGTCCCCGGCAATAAAACTTGAAAGACTAGGTCCACACCCGAGTAGAGCTTTCTGTATGTTGATTCACGGCTTTCGAGTCAAATTTTTCGATCTTAGTTTTGCTTTCCCGAAAATTCTAAATCGAGGTATTTCGATTTATTTTAAGTTGAAACTTTTATAATAATGCATATTATTTGATTTGTATGTGTTCTATTTCGGTTGGTGGTTTTATTTTCGAAATTAGCATCTTAAATTTATCCGGATTTAATTTTACTATTTTATATAAAAATATAAATTTGTCAAATAAATTTGTCTGTTAATATTCTCATTTATATATATGTGCTTTCATGCCGTTTTGTGTTTTATTTGCAATTAAATTTATTTGTTATTTATGTTTAGTTTAGATTATTTTTTAGCGTAGTAAAATCTAGACCTTTTTAGCGTAGTAAAACGTAGACCCTTTCATGTGTAGTATTTTAGCTTAGAATTCCTTTTGTTTTAGTATCTATTACTGGTATTTCGATCCTCAAAATATGGAGCCCGGAATCCATACGTAAGTAATTTGTACAATTAGGTTATTAAAAAATATAAATTTAAATTATAAGAAAATACATAATTATTAATGATAATTTTGTGCCACTGGGCCTCAAAATATCGAGCCCGGAACCCATACGTAAGTAATTTGTACAATTAAGTTATTAAAAAAATATGAATTTAAATTGTAAAAAAATACATAATTATTAATGATAATTTGGTGCCACTGGGCCTCAAAATATCGAGCCCGGAACCCATACGTAAGTAATTTGTACAATTAAGTTATTAAAAAATATGAATTTAAATTGTAAAAAAATACATAATTATTAATGATAATTTGGTGCCACTGGGCCTCAAAATATCGAGCCCGGAACCCATACGTAAGTAATTTGTACAATTAAGTTATTAAAAAATATGAATTTAAATTATAAGAAAATACATAATTATTAATGATAATTTGATGCCACTGGGCCTCAAAATATCGAGTCCGGAACCCATACGTAAGTAATTTGTACAATTAAG